GAAAGATGATAATTTGTTGATTTTAATAAGCTCCTGGATTGAGTTGCTATCACAGGCCAGTGCTTCGAGTCTGGGGTACCCACTGGGTAATGCAAGATGTAAAACTAAAATATTTGTCTGTGAACTCAAACACATTTTGATTTCTTAATGGTCACTATTACTAACCAGATAAGAGAAAAGACCTATCCACATAAAACAAACAAATGATTAGTTTTGACAACAGAAGCTTAAACAGGACGTTAATTAGCAGCCGTAGAGATGGGAAGGTTCTGGATGGGAACAATTACACAGACAAACCCACAGTATGGCTACAATGTGCCAGGGTCCCATCCCTTACCATATGGCTGCAGTCTGGCAAATGGCTCGTTGGCACTTCATTACCATATCACTTGGAACCCAGAAGCGAATCGTTTATGATTAGCTAATTCATTATGCTATCCTTGGTACCTCAAGGGGACCTGAGGGCTTTCCTACCCCATCATGTTATTTTAAGGACATATGACAAGGAAGAAACAGCCCTCCCTTCCCCAGCTGCCTCAAAGTACTGTTTGCTGGAAAGTTTGCTGGAATCTAGATAGGATCTTTCAAAAGAAAATAAACAAGTAAAAAAATCCCTGCAGTCATGAACTGTAGCCACAGCTGGAACTATTGGAACATTCCAGGAGATGAAAACAAAGATTGCCTCCTCCTTCCCTTCTTTCCTATTGAGGACACATCAGCCAGCTTGGGAGTATACTTAGCTACAGCAAGAGCACCATCAGGAAGGAACAGGACTAAAGACCATTACATAGGAGGCAGAAAACCATGGTTCTGGAAGGGGCTCTGGGGTAAGTCAGCTTGATGTTTAATCCTTAGCTGCAGAACCTGCAAAGTAGATGCAGTCCTCTCTGTCTTACCTACTTCCCAGTGGTGTGGTGAACAACATGAGAGAAAGGTCATTGATGGGGAAAATTACTTTGAATCATGAAGCTGATTAAGCCACAGCTGACCAGCCCATGAGGTATCAGAGAGATGCATTTTTCAAACCACTAGGCAGTGGGCAAGAAAGAAAGGGGAACAACCTCTCTCATTGAGATCTACTGTAGATCAGGTCTGCGTGCCCCTATAATTTAATATTTTAACTAGAGTTGCCAAGGAACTTTGCAAAGAAAAAAAAATAGTGGTTGGGCCAGAGAACTGGACAAAAGAAAGGTGTTTCCCAGAGACTAAAGCTTGACAGAGTATCTGGAATGCCTAAACAGGCAGAAAGCATTAAGACAGAAGAGTTGCAATAGCATGGCAAACAACCTGAAAGCGAAGGAATAGAAAAGGTTTTTTTGAAAGAGGAAAAATAAAAACCGAACCTTGACCTGGAAAGTTTAAAGTTAGCATGATTTGCTAAGCATTTGGCTAGAAAGGGATGTGGCAATACTGAAGGGAAACCTGCTCAGTACACACAGAGCGTGAGACAATATCCCATTCTGGATAAGGTGCATAACATGGAGAGGCTCCTTGTAGAGTTTTTTTTTTTTTTTAAATCCACTGCAGCACTTTTCCTAACTCTACCAAGCCTGCCTCTAAGTAATGGTCCCAGGACTGAGCAAGAGCCCTAATATCTTAAGTACACACACCACAATCACGAACACCATCACTCCTCTGCATCATCAATCTGACCTAAAAGAAGCATACTTGCCACAGTCAACAGTAATTACACATTTAATTAACTCTAATTTTGTTTCCTTTTTAGAATTCCAAAGGGCTTTGGGGAAGATTTTCCATGGCTCAGGCCTCTGGAAAGAGCTGTCCAGGGGACTTTAAAATGATGCCTTCTCTTTCTTGTGATAAATATCCCTGTAGCAGCAGTATAGGCATTAAAAAAGAAGAGATTTTATTTATTTTTTCTTTGAGGAAAAAAAAAAGAAATGAAACAAGCAGGTACTTCTCAGATCTCGAGGTTTATGAAACATAGAGACCTGGGTCTGAGTTCTAAGCCTGACATTGATTAATGGAGCAGCCTTGAAAGTGTCAGTTAACTTCTTTTATTTATTTTTTAATATTTATCTATTCATTTGCTGTGATCTCCAAGCCTGTGGGTCAGGGACTTGGACTGAAGATGGTTATGTGGGGATCCAGCACCTTACCTATTACGTCATCTGCTGACCCACGTGAGAAATCATGCCCCCCTTAAGAGGGATGACCATGTGACAATCCCTTCTCCATTCTCCTTCTGGGGTTTGGGCACATATGCACATGCAACCAGTGTGATTTTCAAGCTGCCAGGTTGGGGACTTGAACCTTGGGAGTCCAGCACTGTAACCACTATGCCACCTGCTGGCCCATCAGTTAACTTCTTTATGTCTCAGCTCTCTCATCTACAAAGTGACTATAAGGTAAACTTTATCATGTTGATTAGATGAGCTCTAATAAAACATTTCTTGAAGCATAATCTTCCTACTCCATGTGATTGCAGGGGTTCTGGGTTGCACTTTTGTTTTAGGAATGGATTTGGGTACCTCTCAGCTTGACCACTAATACTCAGTTATTCAATATTTTTGCCAAAATACTTGTTGTGACTTCTTTCTTTCTTCCATGAGTGAGAGAGACAGAGAAAGAGGAAGACTCAGCGATAGTGAGACAGTGAGAGAGCAAGCGAGTGAGCGTGAGAGAGAGAGAGAGAGACATCACCCCTAACAGGATCCACCCCCAACTTCAGCCCTCTGCAGATCATGGGCAGAGGTGTGACCAGTGTACTTAGGGAAGTCTCTGAACACCAACCTGGAACCTTCCCACAGGAGTAAGCCTTGCAGTGTGCCAACTTTTACTGCTGCACCACTGCCTGGCCTCTCACAGTTTTGATGTATGGGGATATGGTGACCCTTGTCAACAACACAAACTCTACATGTAAAGCAGCTCCTATGGGAGTAAGATGCATTTTATCATCTGCCCTATCTATTGAACCCAACTGGACACCTTCACTTTGCCAAGTGCTCTGTCAGGCTCTCGAGTAAAAGGATGAGAGACAAAGACTCTGCTCTGACTTGTAAACAGATCACTTTAGTAAAAGACGGTATGTGAGACAATAGGTTATTGGAGGATTTCTCAAAGATGTTTCATCCTCCAAGCATTTTCCACATTGGAAACACCAGAGCATATACTAAAAGGCTTCCTTCTTTCTCCAACCCAGTTCTACAAGTAGAACTTGGGAAATTGCCTATTTAACAAGCCCTCCAGGAGCTCTCCCTGACACAAAAGACAGGGAAAGTCAGTTACAGGAACCACCGAAGGATGGCACAGTCTCCTGCCTTTATGGACAACTTACTTGAGTTTTGTGCTCTTCTAGGCTCTATAGAAAAATCCAGTAACATTTAACATAGAATTCACTGCCTTTAGGATCTTAGAGCCTCTATTTTTCTCTCTAGGTATAAAACTAGACTATCATATCTGAGGATAAGGAGAAAACCACAGGGTTGGAACTCATTACTCATGATATTCTTGTTTTAGCCAAGATCTGCTGGCTTCTTTCTCCTATGACTCTCTTGTCCCTTGGGAAGAAGCCACTCCCACTGGGAGACTTAGCACTGAGATGACTCTGATCTTAGGTGGGCTCTTGCGGGGCCCTTATCATTGTTAGTCCTGCTCTGACCCTGTAACTCCGTACCAGACCTCAGCTGTGTTCTGGGCTCTCCTTCATCCTTACCCAGTGTCTTGGGACCTCTATGATCTTTTTTTTTTCTTTTTCTCCTGTGTCTTTGCCAAGGACATGTCCTTCACCTTGAAGCCCTATGAATGGAGACAATTTTACCTTCTCTGTCTTGAGATATAGCCTGGTATAGGTAGGACAAAGCATTTTTACCAAAAGCATTCCATTAGAACTAAGTAACAGTTTTACATTATTCCAGAAAGGTCATACTGTGCTTGTTTGTTTGTTTCCATTTGTTAGAGTGTGTGTCTGCTTGCCAGAGAGAGATAGAGACACAGAGAGAGAGAGAGAGGAAGAATGCACTGCCCAGTGGGGGGTGGTCATGTCGCAATTTCTTCATTTCTCCATCCTGTCAGGATTTTGGGCCTGCATGTACACATGCCTGGTATGTTTTTCAAGTTGCCAGTGCCAGGATTTGAACTGTATAGTTAGCTATGTGGGATTTGGCTCCCTTAACTGCTAGACCATGGATCTGGCCCTTTTATAGTTATGTTTTAGGGATTTATTTAAGTTCACAAAGGTGGTAAATGTACTTAACTACTATATGTAGTTATTTAAGTATAATAATCAAAAGTCCCTTATCGGGGGAATGTTTGGATAGGTCATAACTAGAGAGTCGTTTTGACTTTTTCTGGATGTATTCAGTACTTGAAATGGCCACTGATGCTTTTAGTGAGCCAGTTTGCCATGGTGGAAATAGGATGGCATTTGGAGTCTCCTCTGTTTCTTATTTTCTGTATGATCTTGGGAAAATTTTAGCCTTTATGACCCTCAGTTTCGTTTATTTATTTATTTGTTTATTTATTTATTTATTGTAAAATGGGATAATAAACCCATAGCAGAGGGTTTTTTTTTTTTATTGTCAGAGGTCATATGCACTCACCAGGGAGAGAGAAAGAGATGGAGAGAGAGAGAAAGTACTCCCCAATGGAGTATGGTCATGCTGCAATCACTTCTGCTCCATTTTTCCATTTTTATATCCTGTTGGGATTTTGGATGTGCACAAACTGTACCTAGCATGTTTTTAAGCACTGGGGGCTGGTATTTGAACCATAGATGGTCCTATGGGATAGGGCTTCATTCATCACCAGGCTATGGAGCCAGACCCACAGCAGAAGGTATTGTTGAGTGGATTGAATGGAATAATGTTAGTAATATCCTTGGCTCAATACATGTTAATTTCATGTAGTTTCTCTCCCATTTCCT